TTCGCCCCTCATCCAAGAGGCTTCGTCAGTCTGAGGCCTAGCCATCTAGTAGTAGGCAGACTTTTGGTGCAGCAGCATCAATGTGTCCTCTGGTAACAGAGGAGTGTTGATGTCAAATAAAACTAAGAGAAGATGCTGGTGTCACTACCGCGTCTTGTTTTTCTTTTCAGATGCAGACAGAAAAGAGCAGGCTGAAGAGAACGTTTTTGAATTGTAAAAATCTTTCTTCACTGTTTAAACTGGGCTCCCTGCAACATCCCTACATCTGTAACAGACACTCTTCTCACTTCTTTCACCTATTTCTGTAAATGCACCTCATAAACAAGGACAAACGAAGCCAAAGCAGACATGTGCTGATATGCAGCTTTTACCCAAGCTGCCCTTGTTCTTGGATCCCAGAAAAACAGGAAGGAAATTTCAAAACAAAGTTCTTGGGAACGCATGTTAAGGAACAAACGCTTCTCGTCAATCATTTCTCTGACCTTCACTGTCATCTGCGTTGTCCTCGTCATCGTCAGGTGATGCAGTGGCTTGGCCTTCCCCTTGAGATCTATCAGCAAGAGCCCTCCGATTATCCTGGAAACAGAGACAGAGAACAGATAATTTTTTATTCACACATCAGTGTTGTGGCAAATACAGAAAAACAAGCAGCACTTTACCTTCTTATGCTGCTGGAGTAGGTTGTCCAAGTTGTGACGTCTCTTGTAATTGAAATAAAAGTTCTTGCACTGCGCCTCACTTTTGGTGCCCACCATTTTAGCAATGGCTGTCCAGTTACGGCCATGCTCAACGAGTCCTAACAAAACATACAGATGCAACATGAAGTTCGAGTTGTTTTAATGAGGATGAATTAAAAGCTTCCAAAAACTAAACGGAGCTGCAAAACCTCCCAATAATCACATCATTTCTGGTGTTTCTTGCTGCTCCTCCTCATCCTTACAGTGCTGAACACACTATTCGCTCTGATGAGCTTCCTGAACTTTATGTGAGCTGTGAATTGGAGTACTGCCATTTACCTTTGACATCAGGGTGTGTCTTTTAGAAAATCTGTGTCCCACTATCCCTGCCAGCTCCACTTAGATGAAGGGAGCTGGCAGCTCAACAAATTATCACAGAGCTAAACACAAAAACTCATCAGCATTCCAGCTGAGGGCACTGACTGAGTGACTAATGTCTCATTTACAAGACGATGTAGATTAAAAAGCTAAAACAAATCTTTAAAATGATGTTTTTGCCAACATCTATGAATGAGCATATGCTGAAATATATTTTAAAAAAATGTTTCCAACACAAATGCATCCGAAATGCCAAAATGCATGGCTGTTACTGACAAAACCTCCAACAATTTTCTGATGTTTGATCACCTGGCTATTTTGACAAAATTTACACGAGATATCAAAAACTGAAAATCTTTGCCTCATGTAGCTCCACTAAATATTAATATGTAAGGATTATTCCTATTACCATGGCAACTATATATACATTTATATTTTACATAAACATCCTTATCAAATGTCCTTGAGAGGTTAAGATGTCCTTATTTTAAATAGTTGATTTTGCAGACAGGCAGCAGAATAAATACAAAACACAGCAAGAACTATGAATAACGTCCGCTTTTTAAAACTGATTTAAAACTAGATGTAAGGGGTGTAACAATAAGTTTATACATCTACCCACTCCTTTGAATGTGTAAATATACTTTACTACTGTTGTTTTTTTTCTGCTTGCTTTTGTTCTAAATTTATCTTCTTTTTATATAACTTTGTTATTTTATTATACTACGTTCAACAAAGTTAAACTCAAACTCAATGATGGTAAACATGTTAGCATAACAAGGTTCCTATGCATTGTCCATTTTAAAAATCCACACTTTTCCAGAGTAATGTTCTTTGGTGCTTAAAATTATTTTTGACGTGAACACACGTAGATTTACTGTGAATGTTTGTATAATAATGTTTAAAGTTTTATTCAATACAAAATCATGATCACTGTGACAACACATTTGAGCAGTACATGGCGAAATATGCTAATTATGGAGAACCAGGACCAAGACTCTCTTCATTAAAACAACTAATAATACATCAAATCCAGACAGTAGGTAGAGGGGGAACACACAAATAGTTAAAAGGCGTAATTGAACTTAAAGACTAACAAGCTTCTAACATATACATTCAAAAGCAGTTCTTCACAGCCTGCAAGAACCATGAAGCAGAGTGCAACAAGTGACCCAGACAAGTCCTCCACCCGAAGTGAAGACCATGAACTTAAAGCAGACATTTCATTATCTCCATTGAGGATGTTCCCAAGGTTATGCAAGAGGAACTGAAAAGTGCGCTGTCTGCAGTTTTTCACGCTTTGAAGTGTAAGCTACATGCAGCACAAAACAAAATAGCTAACATGGCTACCATTCAGACTGAAGTGAATCACGTGAGCCAACATGCAAAACATGAAGGGCGGCCTGTCGATGTGGTCCAATGAGGCAGCCATGCTTCAAATAACGGTGACTGGCTTGCAAACACAAGTACAACCTTAAAACACCAGATTAATCAATCAGATTCATGAAGACCATCACTACTAATGAGCTGGATATTAGTAAAAATGGGCAGACCATGGAGTGGTTTATTTATTTTATTTATCAGGCATCTATTGATAATAAATCAAAGACTTTAGAGCAATTGTAAACCAAAATTTTCTACAGATTTCTACACCAAAGGTCTTACCCAATGACATAAGGAGTGGGCAAAACTTATAAAACCTACATCTATAGAAAGATTTTTCATTGAAATACAAATATGAAACAGAGATTTAAAAAAGTAATAAGTAGAGATGCACCGAACCGATATCCATATCGGTATCGGTACCATTATCTGAAAAACTTCTGGATCGGGTATCGGTGACAATGTGACTGATACATTTTCCGATCCAACCTGCCGATATTTCCGATCCATGATGCACGTTGGCTTCAAACTATG